ATTGGTTAGAGGCTGTAAATTATAAAAATGAAAATTTGAAAAAGTTTCCGATAAAAGTTGCTACAATTGAAATACTCGAGTTTTCTCTCTGAATCGTTTCATTTCTTTAAACTGAATTTGTTAAATTGTCCTTGTTTTTTTGCTGTTACTGAAGCAACTCTTTGCAACTCTTTGTTTTAATTAATTAACCTTCAATTATTTGATGGTTTTAATAGAACTATTTAGTTGATGTAAATGCTTTTTTATTACCTGAATTCTCAAAATTTTTGAACACTAATTTTATATAAAACAAGACGCAAGCTCAGGGCACGGATCAGCTGGAAAGGTAAGAAAAAATTTAAAACTAAACTCGGATTTTCATTCTTGGTTGAAACTGCAAAACACAATCTACTACAATAACAGCACTTTTAAGATAAAACTTCTATATGAAGATCGCATGAACATTTATTCGATGAATTTTTTTTTCAAAATTTTTAATGGATGAATAAGAAATCAAACTGATGAAAAAATAAAATACAAGCTAAATGGTTAAAAAATTATTAGAAAACACATCAATCTCGACATAAAAATTGAATCCTGAACAAAAAATACAAAATGAAACTTTTATGTCCAAGCAATTTTGATACAAAATTTTTAGCAGTTAATAATTGCACCAATAAAAAAGCAATGAAATACTTCGATAACGTGGTGCAACAATCCTTTTATGAAAAAAACTATAAGTTTTAGGCCTGAACGGCTTAAGATTAAAAGACAAGAAAAAGTTTGTCGCAACGAACAAAATAAATTAAAAATCAAAACCCATTTTTGTAAAACATACTATTCAAAATAATGTTAAATAATCTATCAGAAGCAAAAAATAGTTTTTTGAGGCTGTTCGAAAATCTTGTCCACTTTCAACTGTGCTAGTTTTTTTTCATATTTAAAATTATACTGTTTCGATTGAAACAAATTCATTTTTTGACAAATTAAGGACAGTTGGATTTTTCATTAATGTTTTATTACTGAATATGTTTTGTGCAATTTTTTGAAAAAAAAGTGTGAGCTCGATAGGTAAAAAAGCAGGAAACAATTAAATCTAATGTGAAACAAAAATTATTATACAGAAAACAAAAACAAAATTTATGACTAAGCAATTAGGTAACGCAATTTGTCACCCGTACCACTTCCCGCGCCAGCAGAGTAGAATTCAATTATAGTGATTTCGCAAAAATTTCTTTAATCATTAAAAGTGTATACCATGTGATGATGTTTGTGAAAATATTCGTGATGTATGAATATGGCATTCAATGGCTATATATGGTCAAACCAAACCGTTTATACCAGTCTACAATTATCGAGAAAATTCAGCGGAATGTGAAGATTTACAATTTCTTAAATCAAAATATTGTAACTTCAAAACTCACAATGTTTTTTTTTTGTTTTTTAATGTTTGAATTGTCGAATATCAAAAATGTTAAGTTGTATCAAGCGTATATAAAAGGGAGCTCCAATAGAAATTGAGCTTACCATTTGTACTGAAGTTGTAGAATAACGCATGGAACTTTGATGCGGGTAATTTTTAGAGATTAAAGTGTCACTTATTACTTACAAATGAATAATTTTTGTTCAATCCAGTTCCGAACAATCTAATGCCAAAATAAACTACAAAATTGATGGTACAAAAAGACTCGGAAAAATCATCAATCTTAACGTTAAAAATATGAATCTCTAAAATAAATTAGCAACGTAATTTAAAACGCAATTTATGTCTAAGCAAGTTTTTAAAAAGTGTGCGCACTCTTAGCGATGAATAATTAAACCAATATAAGAGCAATAACAAAAACTTCAACAAGACTGCTCGTATGTGGGCAAAACCCTGAATGTTCCGACTGCCTTTTAAGGTTTATGGAGCAGCAATAACATAAAAAAATTAAATGTATAAAAAAAATGAAACATTTTTTTTTCTACAATTTGAGTTTTTTTATGAAGTCATCACCCCACATGCCATATAAAGTACAAAAGGGTAGATTTCGCTCCTTGTAACAAACCAATTATGGCAAATAAGCTTCTTTTAACCAATTTGGAACAATTTCTAAGACGGATTAAATCTCCGCTTACGCGTTAATAGTGCGAAATATATCGCGCGTTAATTGTCCCAAATTGGCCAAAATGGCAATCTTTAAACCCCCATAACTTTACAAAAAATGATCACAGATAAAACATTTTTCAAATTTAGGCTCAGGACAACTATAGCTTTCGAATGATGTTAAAAAAATTCCGCCAAAAATGGCTGGTTAAAAAGTCGAAATTTGTCTGAAGAAAAAAAAACCCACCCCGAGCACAAATATTCCGTTACTTTCGTATCGAAAGTCGGAACAATAAATTGGCTCAGCATTGTTTTTTTTTTGCAAAATTCTGAAATTATTTAAATTCAGACTTAATTGGCTCAAATTTACAAGCAACGGGGAAATTTTTGTCGCAATAAACATTAAAAAGTGAAAATCAAAGACCAAATTTTCATGGTAATGCTTTAAGCAAATAGAATCTCTTTAGCTGAATACTAAAGATCATTAATAAAATTAGCCAGTGTCCCAGGAGAATTTAAAATCAAAGACTATAGTTTTAAGCCATGTAAATTATTATGAAAATTGAATGTGAATCATAGAAAGGTATACATAATGTGTTAAAAACTGACGTCCTAAAAGAGTTCTTGGAGCTGTTGTTCAATCCTTTTGATAGAAACAAAATTCTAAATCTACTTGAAACTTCAAATACTTTTTTCTTCACAAATTGTGGCATAAGCAAGAGTGTTCGTATAATAGGGCAAAGCCCTGATTTTGTTCCGTTTACCCCATATGTCATTCGAAATTATTGTGACCAAATGGTTAGCCTCAATTCCTTTTGGAACGATCGTGCGCAATAATTCGCCACGTATAATGAAGTGGTGATATGTTGTTTGCTTTATATTATAACAATTTTCACAGCGCACATAAATACCAAGAGCCTAGAGCATAGTCAAATTGGTAATTTTTGAACCATCAGAAATTTAAAAAATATGAACAGAGAAGATAAGTTTTTTCAATTTTGAATTCAAGAAATCGGTAACTTCAATGAGGCATAAGTAGTTTTCGATGAAATTATCACTTCAAACGCCGAAATTAGACTGAAAAATAGTAAATTAACCCATCCTCAAATATTCCATCACTTTTTTAGAATTGAAATGAGCTATTCTTGGATTTAGGAAGCTTCGATTCAGTTTTTGCTTTACTTTACTCAATTGAAAAGCGACCATTTTTGAATTTAATTTGCTAACTTTTATATATATGTATATTTATATAATGTATATATAAATCTTTTTTAAAAAATTAACTCAAAACGGTATAGAAATTTGTTTTTTTTTTAAGTTATATTTTGGTTCCTTAATCGCGTAATCAACAACAGTTGACATTTTCAAACATATTGTACATCTAAACATCTTAAACAATTTTTTTCTGGTTTTTTATTTTTAATGGTTTAACCAAGTTTCATTTTTTCCTATTTTTAATTCAGCTCTGTCAGATAATTCCTCAATTGGCCTAGACTCCACTGTCTGGTTTGATTTTGAGTTTATTTTCTATATGACTGTTACCCTCTTTTAGTGAGCCTATAAAAAGTCAAATACGACAAAAACTCCAAATTTTTGAGCCAATTAATAACAATTCAAATGTATTTTTTCTGATAAACCCAATCTCTTGTCTTCTGTAGATCATTATTGTTCTGGTCCAACTTTTCTGTTTCTCCGGCTAATTTAAATGAAGTATCAGTCGTTACTTTGGCTCGACTGACCTCAATCTTGCAGCTATTTATTTAAAGTTCAAATTTTGATTTTTTATTGTTTTATCGTTAATTTGATTGCTTAGATTAGTACCGGAGGCCATATATTTGTTGTATAAGGTCTCCGGTAACTTAAACTGTTTAACCAATTTTCTTTGAAAATGGGTAGGAACTTTGTATTCAAGTGTGTTTTAGTTTTTTTTCGTTTTCCACGCAAATTCAGCAAACAATCATTGGACTGGGATTGATATATCATATTAAAGCCCTTTCAGTCGTGATTCGAACGACAATAAAAAATTTCGAAAAAAATTTCCCAGTGTTGAGATAAACTGGTTTGAATTTGTTGATTTTTCGTCTAATTTTTAGATAATGAGCAGGCTTACATTCGCTTATTGATGTAAGCCTTGATTTAAGCCTTGAAACTTTAGTTTTACTCAAATGAAGTTAGCCTTTGGAGTTTTTAGCTTCAACCTAGGATTCAAAAACTTCAAAAACTGGAAAAATTTTGAAAAATTAAAAGAAAAATTTTTTTTTTCGTTTTTTTCTTCAAAACATGTTTTCCAATTTGCATATTTTACAATGACTGATGAAAATGCCTAAGCTCTACTTTTTCGCTCAGATTCCTTTATCACACCAAGCCGAAAAAACGACACTAATTTGAAAAAATTATTTTTTTTTGTAATTTTTTTAAGACTGGTCGGAACATTTGTGATACTTGCACAGTAACCAGCTATCCTTGCTACATTTTCGGATGAGTTAGCTTTTCGGAAGGAAAATTACATATGTCCTTCTCTTGTTCTTAAAAACAATTTTAAAAAACTTAAGAAAAGGTATTTAGACATTTCTTCAAAATTGCCTTGGCAAAATAGCTGATCAGAACTAGTCTCGGATCTACTAAACAATCTCCCGCTTTCAAGAAAGGGGGGGGGGGGGAGATCGTTGAGTAGATTACTTGCAGCGATTTTTCGACCAATCAGAATGCGGCAAAATTTGAATTTACATAGAACGCTATAAGAGCGATTTTACTGTTTTTATTTACAGGTATGGAGATTCTTTAATAGATACAATGGGGGGATGGTCGATTTTCGATTTTGTGTTGTTGTCTCAAGAGTAGGTTACCAATTGCGAATTTTTTAGCCGAACATCTCGGCTCAGCATATTATATCCAGACGGTTCTGCTCAAAAATCAAACTAAAAAAGAACTGAGGAATATTGTTTTACGGAATTTCTAACTAAATCTCATCAGTTCATCTATTGTACTTCATTATCTTCATGATTTTATACAAAAGTATGCAATATGTGCAGCAAAAAACTACTAGTTTTCAATCAACTCAGAACTTTCATCACTTCTTCAGTTTTCATTTCAATTCAACTCAGAACTTTTTGTTCATTCGCAGATGCAGCGGCGGAGCTAAAAGTGGGCTAATTTGGACCTTCTAGAGATGTGAAGAAAGACGACAACTGGTATGACTCATTGGTCCAAATCATTCCCACTAGAGTCGACCAATAAACTACATTAAATAGAAGGAATAGAGCTGGGAAAAGTACACGCGCGATGTTATTAATTACGTTCAAAGAATGAATTTTCCGTTTCTCCTCATTCGGATTACTGACACAGTCGGCTTCTAGAACGAAACTTTCTTCTTCGTGAACTGTGAACAGATTGTCACCTTCGAAGGAACTGAAATTTGAAAAATTCCCGTTTTCTTGATTTCCGATCTCTTTATTTTTACATGCTGCTTGCCGTTCGTCTAAGATGGAGTGTTGTACGCTCTCTGACTGACGGCGGCGGTTCGAATCCCTGTCGGACTCGCCAACAGCGTGGTAGCCATTGCATTGCTTGTACTGCTTGTGGGCCGAAGTGTACCTGCCGTTAACTTTGGAGCGGTTCTTCATCTCAAATGAACTTTGTCGTGGCTGAAACACAGATCAATTTGATTTATTAGGAACACAGAAGGCCAAACAAATACCAAAGGACGCACAAAAATAATCAGTGTCTCTTCTCTGTCTTGTTGAGGAAGCTGATACTAATAAAATCTAGTCTTATTCCCAATTGTAGTTCGCGTTTTCTTCTCATTAGTATCAAATTAGTTCTTCTGTTTTAAGTTGAATCGGTTGATCGAACTTGCTTTTGTTTGCAACTCTCCGTGAATTGGTAATTGTAAAACCGGAAAATGTATTTAGTGCACATATGGTTATAACAATGTTTTGCATTTTATTCTTACGCCTTAAATCATTAAAATATGCTTTTCAGAGGTTTATAATGAATCAGTGTTTGCTAGCTCTATCACGTAAACCGCTTTTGGAGCGGCAATGTAGAAGCAAGTTGAAGAATTAATCATCTTCTCCAGTTAAGTGAAGTAGAAATTTGAAAATCAAATTAAGTTTCAAATGGTCCTTTTTAATTTACCGATCAAATTGGACTCTTTTAGTAACTAAGATCGTACTTTCAGGGATCATTTCTTGAGTGCGTATCTTGGCCTCTCGAGGCAACCTTGACGACCTTCGTCAGTCCGATGATGACAGGTGGCGTCTCTCCACAGCATGAGAGTGCAGTCGAAGTACTGACTTCGGTTGTGTCGATGATTGCTTGCCCTTCTGGGAAACGGAGAGTTCGCTATCTGAGGGCTAACTTTCAACCGAACTTTCCACTAATTGTGTATGTATTAAGTATTGTCACACAAATACTGATGTAATCAGCTTCAATCTTGTAATACTACAAAAATGTATTGTGAATAATCACGAACACTCACCTTTAATTATATATCCTTCCATTAAGAGAACGATAACCGTGGACATTTAACCGTAATGCGACTACTCGCAATATACTCATCGCTGCAGTCGCGCCAACGCGTTGCGAGCTTGCCAACAGAGGGTATCGGACTTTTATACGAAATTCATAGCTGATTATCGCCGCCAAGCGGCGGCGACTCGCGCCCAACAGCATCCTTAAGCCCAAAATTCGTAACTTATCAATTAATTTTCAATCTTTGCGAGCTGTCGTTTTCCTTAAATTTTACAAGTTGTTTTTTTTTATTGCGAGTTGTCGCAGTACATGTAGCATGCTGTTTTTTCTCGTTTCTCACTTCGAAGAAAATTTTAAATGTGGCGCTTTTCGCCTCTAAAATTTAGTGGCAAATTTTGCCCCAAGTTCATTAAGGGACTTAGTGATTGCAATATTTGGGGCGAAATGTGCGTATACCGTAAATTATGGCTGATTTTATGGCAGAAAAAATTTGTAGCCTCGTGCTTTCACACGCAACTTACTCTGATCGGGTTATTCTTAATTCTCCTTCTGTGCAAATTGGTAGTGTTGCTGGAATGTGAGAAAGACGACAGATCCTTGCTACTAATATTTGTCGTCGAATTAAGTTGTCTTCTAGGGTGATTGGCGTTCTGATTGACCAGTAAGATGCAATTGTTGCTGTCGCTTGTCCTCTGAGCTCCCGACGACGGACTCGTTGAGCCGGAGGCGCGTAGCGTGAGTGACATGTCGTCTAGGTGTCTGTGAGTCGTGAAATCCGATAGTGCGAATTCTATCATGGCGAATATGACGAATACGAAGCACACCCAGAGATAGATGTCGATTGCAGTCACTTTGTTGTTCACGTGTTTCTCGTTATGAGCTGTGCTTTGAGTAGCTGAAACGAAAAAAGGCGGTTGCTTTGAAAGATAAAACAGAAAAGCGACCCAAAATGTAGACAAATTGTCATCGGATCAAGTCAAATGAACTGTCGTCTTCATTTTATGTGTGGTACGGCTGTGAACTGCTCTGAAACGCTTAATTTTTCTTTATGACAGGAACATTCGCAATAAGACTCGATTTGAAACTTTTTTGACGAGACGGATCAAAACCAAATGTTAACAGGTTTCTTTTTAGTTTGTAGCATGCTTGTCGCCCTTTTAACGAGCTCATACGGCCGGAGGAGCTCGAATTTCCTTGGTAAGCTAAAATGGAGTTTCTATTCTTGGTCGTACTATTGTGGTATCCGTAAAAGATCAACCGTACAAACCATTTTTATTCGCGCGTTTGTATTATGAAATGCATATTTTATACAGAATTTTTTTTCAAAATTAATCCATGCTTGGGGAGGGCATTCTACGGTAGGTCACTTAGGAGGGGAGGGGGGGGGATCGTACGGTTGATCCTCCGTAAGTAATTAACCCTTATAATCATTGAAAACCAGCAATTAATTATGCGCAAATCTTGAACCCGCCGCCCGGGTTGACGTCCATAAAAGAAAAATGCTTGTCATACAATTTCATATATGGCAACTATGGAAAAAGTGCTTATCATACAATTTACATACAAAATTTAAAAACTGTTTTAAACGCTTTTAGAGAAATACTTCTGTTCTATTTCCATCTTTTGAATCTTTCTGCTCAATAAAAACATTATTTCAATTTTGGTCAAAAAAATGCTTATCATAATATTTTCATATATGACAACTGTACGATAAGCTTTTTGCTATTGAAAAAATAAAATCTTCGAAATTAATTTAACGATAATTCTAACTTGTTCGAGTTTAGAAATTTTTTTTTGAAAGAATGCATTTTAACTCTCAAAAACATGATTTTAATTTTGGGTAAAAAAATGCTTATCATATAAATTTTCATGTATGAATTCTATGATATGCATTTTTCCATAAGCAAAAACACAAATTTAAGGTAATAAAAATTTTAATCCTTTTTTGTTTTTTGGTTGCAAATTTGCTTTTGTGCTCAAATATATTTTGTGTTTATAACGTAGTCCAGAATGAGTTTTTCACCCAAAAAATCCAAAAATCACGAAAAAGTGTTTTTTTTTCTGTAAACACAATTATTATGTTTTTATTTCATTTGCTAAGATAAAAACAAATTTCTGAAAAAACGGGCCTTTTTTCTCAACTACCAAAGTTTTCAAACCAAAAATTATCTAGCTACCTTTTTAGTATTTAAATCCATGTGAAAAGGTACAAATTAACGTAGGTAGCAAAAATCACCAAATGCAGTTTATCTGCGTGGGAACGGCCAGTTACACTCTGGGTTTTCTTATGACAAAAAGTCCCGGGTTAGTGTTTCGGATAAAACACAAAATTTCACAACAAATTTGTTTTGGTATTTTCTTTTATGGAAAAAAAAATGCTTGTCATACAATTTCATGGTATGGATAAATTGCCTATCATAATATTTCATTGAATGGGAAAAATGCTTATCATGCTTTCTTCATAATATTTTTTCGGTCTATGAAATAGTACGATAATCATTTTTTCATAATATGAAATAGTATGATAAGCATTTTTGTCACTCTGGGCGGTGCTTGCTCTCGCTTGAATTAGATTGAGGGCGTTTTTGGTGCGGTTGGTAAAAACGATTTTAATTTCTGACAGCTAGGTGAATAATTATGTCAAATAGTTTTCGATTGGGCGGGTCTTAGGGCGGTGTTTCGACTAGCATAAAGCTCGACTAGGTTAAAAAATTTCAAACTGAAAACCATATCAACTAGCATAAAAATCGAGACAAAATTGAAATATTCAATAAAAACAAAATGATCAGGATCTTCTTATCTATTTATCCCTTGTTGAACCTTGCTAACTATCCCCCATGCATGTATTTTTTGACAACACAATTCTGAATCAAATATACATTCCAATTATGGGTTCGATCATCAAAAATTGGAGGTCGCAAAATAGTACCAAAGGTGAGACACTTTTTGCGGCTATGGGGTCAAATCCCTAGGAGAGGGAGGGTGATCATATGCCTTCCCCCAAATCCTTTACTGGGTCGAAGTGTGACTGATTTGGTCGAAGTGTGAACAGATTTGGGGGGATGTTAATTTGGTTTCAAAACTTCATTTCCTTATTGTTTCCCGGTTTAATGATCAGACGGTCGCGACCAAATTTTGGTATTTCCAAACTGCCGCGGCCAAAATTAGATATTTTCAGACCACCGCGACCAAAGTTGGTTATTTCCAGATTTTGAGGAACGAGGCAATGTGTCAGCGACCCGCGCGACCCCAGGAAAGCTAACTGCGACCGGCTCCACCGAAAAAAAATTAAGAATTCGAGGAAAAACTTCTGGAGAAAAACTGAGGAATTTTTTCGACCGAAAAAAGTTGAACGGAAATAAATTGACAGATAAACACAACTAGACAATAATCGCAGCATAGTGTGTTTTTCGACCGCCTCAACTAACTTTTCGACCATGTCGCGACTGTTTTTTCGGCCAAGCCGCGAGTTATTTTTCGATCTTGTGGCTACTTATTTTATCCGATTCTGACTGGGCGAAAGAAACAGATTAGGTTGATCTAACTAAAGTACAAGTTTCAACATATCAGAGTAAAAAAGTAGAATGGCTAGCATGGTAGGTTTGGACGCCTTATACCGGAGTTTGACTCCCCGAAAGTCCAGAGGCTAAAAACTTTTCGACCGCCGCGAGTTATTTTTTGATCATGCCCGCGACTAATTTTTTGACTGCTGCGACTAGTTTTGCGCTATTTCCAGAAGTTTTCCGCGACTTAAAACCCTGTCCAGACTATTGATTTTTGGTCGAGGAATTAAGTTTTCCGCGACCGACAAAATCAAAAAAATTAGTAGCGGATCTCCACCCCGGTTGCTTTAATTCACATTTCTATTTCTCAGAAATGCAAGTTACAATTTATTCATATTGTTTTGTGTTACTGAAAGTTAAGTAACTTAACACCCTGCGTCTAAACAGTTTCTTTTTTGGGGCGGGGGATGTTAACTTGGTTCCACCCAAAATTTCATTTGCTTGTTGTTGGCTCAATATCACATTTCTACTTCTCAGATATGCAAGTTTCAATTTGAACGGACTCCTGTTGTTTTGTGTTTCTGAGAAATAAAGTTATCAAAACTATGCTACTCAATACATTTTCATGTGTTTTCTTTTATGCTAGTCGAGCGGTAATTGCTCTCACATTACGCTAATTTTATAGAAAATCACCTTTGGATTTTTCTAAGCACGGTCTTCTTTTCGGTTGTGACAGAAAAAGATTATTTAAACGCGGACGCAATGCAATCATTTATTTAAAACAGGCGGGTACGAAAGTTTCAATCTTCAGGACTTCAGAGGATCAGACTTTGAACTGAATTGATCGATTTCCTGTTTTGTGAAGCAAAGTTTCATATAAGCCCGCGTCAGTTCTATTGACTCGGTTTATACTTTTCAAAGCATGAAGTTGAAACCTCAGGTCAGGCTCATAAAAAATTCAATCTCTCTATTTGCTCAAGAGTCCCTTGATTAGAAAAACCCAGCCAAAGGTAATTGCATGCGAAGATATTTGATGTCACAAAACTGGTCAGATCGGTGGGAATTTGACGCTTGAGTTGAAATAAGATAAAGCATCCAAATTTAATGACCATTTCAGATTCCACAATAGTGGCATAATTCGCCTACTTCGTGGAGGATGGATTGACTGAGTGCTCCAATTTGGCCATCGAGTTGTGAATTATGCCAAAAATAACTGTGCAAATGTGTAGAAAATTGGTGTTATTTTCTGAAAGTTTTCTTAACAATAACTCTTAAACGTTTTTTTTTAATGAAAACGTATTGCTAAGAAAACGCTAAATAAAGCTTCCAATCCACTTTTCTTTTCTGTAAAAAAAAATTTCTCAGCCTGAGTTTCACATAACGAAAGCTGAAACCGATTTTTCTCGAACTGGGATATTTTTTTTGGAAGTTTGTTAAGGTTCGAATCACGACTGAGAATACTTTAATATGATATATCAGTCAACCCATTCCGACGATTTTTCGTGATATCTGATTTTGCGTGAAAACAAAAACAAAAAAAAGAACAAGCATAAATGGTTACTGTGCAAAAAGCACAGAATGTTCCGACCATAGTCTTGAAAAGTACGAAAGATTTTTTTTTTCAAATTAGTTTTGCTCTGCGTGGTGTGATAGAAGTATCTGAACAAAAAACTAAAACTTAGGCATATTTTAGAACGTAATAAAACAGGCGAATTGGAAAACAATTTTTGTAGAAAAATTACTAGAAAAACAAAAAATCGTAAGAAATTTTTTTTAAAAATTCCAACAGTTTAACGTTTTTCAGAACTTTTTTCAAAGTTTTGAGTTTTTTGATAATTAAAATTGCGCTACAAACTCCAAAAATAAACTTTACTTGAGTAAATCTAAATTTCAAGGCCTTTACTGTTCATAAATAAGCGAATCTAATCCTGCTTACTAGTTCGAAATTAAACAAAATTCAAAATTTTCAAACCGACACAGAATTTTTGTAGAATTTGTTTTATGTCATCTAAAAGCGACTGAAAAGGCTTTAACATACCCAGTCGGATGATTGACTATGATTGTAGCTCAAAATACAAATTTCGCCTTGTTCACCTGCGGTTCTTTTGTGCACTAAACGCTGGCATTTAATGCGAATCAGAAATCATTCCAGTTCCAACTGAAGCAATGTATCTGATCTCAATGATACGTTATTAGACACTAAAATTTTCCTTTAATCTTTTTAAAATCACTTCGAAAACTCATTGACAAAATTATTCAGAATATTCAGATTTTTCAAAAACAAATTAAAAGTGGAAATAGGAGAAAAGCCACTTGCGCTCGTGCGGCTGTATGCGCGATTTTTTGTTATAAGGTATACAAAAATTGGATGAAGAATATTTAGTGTTTTTGA